ACAAAAAGTTTTTCACCAACTCTTGTTAGAAAGTTTATCGTTGGAGACGATCGAAGAAATAGAGGATGAAATCGTCTCCGCAACTACGTACAATGTATTGAAGGAGAATTTAATTAATAAATATTCTTCTCCGCAGAAAAAGTCAGTGGAACATTTAACAAAGTCAACTAGCGCAGGATCATTGAACGACTCACTGCAACAATTAGCAGCTGTTGTCGTACCAAAACTTGCCGAACAAATTTGTGGACGTTGTGAGCGAAGCCTGTCACACGATGAAGCTGTTCTAAGAAATATTTGCTGGTACCACAAGCGGTTTGCTGAAAATTCTAAAAAATGCGTGCCACCGTGCAGTTATTATTCTGAGGCTGTGGCAACAACTAGCCGCAAAAAGTCCAATCGCCATCTCAATCATGCTTCAGCAAGCAAAGAGAGATCAAAGACCAGCAAACAAGTCTCAACATGCAACAACAACAATATTTTTCATATTTGTTATAAATTATTTAGTTGCAAGAAATTCAATAGGAAATATTAACAAAATTAAAAATCTAATTAAAATCACTAGAAAATAATTAATGAAATGACTAGTTAATGACTTATAGTAAGTTACATGTTCAATAATATGTGAAAAGAATGTTCAAAAAGTAAAAATGATTTAAGCTTAAAAAGCATGGGAAATAATATAATGATTTAAAAATCGAATAAAAAATAAAATTAATTGATTGCCTTGTTAACGACTTAGTAAGTTAGTTTTGTGATCGTTAAGGTGATGGCGATGATGAAAGCATTGATTGCGACGATGATGATGATAATGATAGCAATTGCTGTTATGATGATAATGACCATAACTGTAATGGTTGTGATTTTTGTTGATTTTTATATAAATAAGTAAAACTTTTAAAAGCTTTTTATACTCATTAATTGGTATACTGAATTTAAATTCCATGGGAAGTCCTCGAACATCTATTACAAGACTCAGAAACGAACAGACATGAAGTCCATACACGCGTGAAAAAAATGGTAATTGGTTTCTAAAATTTGTTTATTACTTTGCAATATTCAATTTTGCAGAAACCTTTTCGTTGCTCAATACGATTATTATTCAAGTTATTAATTTGTATTTACATTATAGTTCCTTCAAGTTGACGTGATTTCTTGTGCGTTAAAGTTGTTTTTCTCATCGCATATATGCGCAACCGTACTTATTAATTATTTATTAAGATAAATTATTATTGACACTGTTAATATATATTTATTTTCCTTATTATTATTGTATGGGATCGAATCGCTTATTCTCAAGCAAAATATATTTATACAGAAATACCGCCCATCCCTATTTTAATATCTATGCGCTAGATTAGTGTTTTAAGGGGCAATTAGAACAGTACTCTTCGTTTCATCGTCCTTGTTGGCTGTGTGTTTCTTTAGTGAATAAATTTTGTTGGAGCACGTGTTTATTTGTTAAAATGTCAGCAAAATTTGATCTCTGCCAAGAAAAAAAAGACGTTATGAAGGACAAACTCGTCAAATGCAGCTCTCGCCTTGAAAAGAAGAAAACAGGCGCTTCAGACACAACAATGCCGCTGCGACTCAATCCTTTCAGCACGACGCACGTAGAGGCGTGGTTCATCTATTTTGAGAGCGTGCTACGATGTCGGGGAATCAGCGACAAAAAAGTTTTTCACCAACTCTTGTTAGAAAGTTTATCGTTGGAGACGATCGAAGAAATAGAGGATGAAATCGTCTCCGCAACTACGTACAATGTATTGAAGGAGAATTTAATTAATAAATATTCTTCTCCGCAGAAAAAGTCAGTGGAACATTTAACAAAGTCAACTAGCGCAGGATCATTGAACGACTCACTGCAACAATTAGCAGCTGTTGTCGTACCAAAACTTGCCGAACAAATTTGTGGACGTTGTGAGCGAAGCCTGTCACACGATGAAGCTGTTCTAAGAAATATTTGCTGGTACCACAAGCGGTTTGCTGAAAATTCTAAAAAATGCGTGCCACCGTGCAGTTATTATTCTGAGGCTGTGGCAACAACTAGTCGCAAAAAGTCCAATCGCCATCTCAATCATGCTTCAGCAAGCAAAGAGAGATCAAAGACCAGCAAACAAGTCTCAACATGCAACAACAACAAACACACGTGTTCTTTGGTAGTTAATATCATTTTAACATTGTTTATTTTATTCATTGTAATTAGCAACATTATTTGAATGTTTTAATTTTGATTATCTCGATATTTCATGTACGAATTTTTTTAATTTAATTTTTTTAATGTATGTTTTCTATGTTTATCATACTATATCAATATATCAAGCAACACACACACACACACACACGGACAAACACACATACATGCACTCAACTACTTAACTATGGTTGAAATAAATTCATTTAAATCATATTTTATTAAATATGAATAAAATAAATATGTAAATACCACTACAATGATTAGCTGGAGCACGATTTACGTTTTGTGTTAGATTTTATCACCTGCCGATTTTTGGTCGTGTTTAATTTATACCAATAGAAAAAATAAAATTATATTTAATTTTAAAAATATTCATATAAAACAAATTATTTGCGTTAAATACCATTTTTTCATATTTGTTATAAATTATTTAGTTGCAAGAAATTCAATAGGAAATATTAACAAAATTAAAAATCTAATTAAAATCACTAGAAAATAATTAATGAAATGACTAGTTAATGACTTATAGTAAGTTACATGTTCAATAATATGTGAAAAGAATGTTCAAAAAGTAAAAATGATTTAAGCTTAAAAAGCATGGGAAATAATATAATGATTTAAAAATCGAATAAAAAATAAAATTAATTGATTGCCTTGTTAACGACTTAGTAAGTTAGTTTTGTGATCGTTAAGGTGATGGCGATGATGAAAGCATTGATTGCGACGATGATGATGATAATGATAGCAATTGCTGTTATGATGATAATGACCATAACTGTAATGGTTGTGATTTTTGTTGATTTTTATATAAATAAGTAAAACTTTTAAAAGCTTTTTATACTCATTAATTGGTATACTGAATTTAAATTCCATGGGAAGTCCTCGAACATCTATTACAAGACTCAGAAACGAACAGACATGAAGTCCATACACGCGTGAAAAAAATGGTAATTGGCAGTTATTATTCTGAGGCTGTGGCAACAACTAGCCGCAAAAAGTCCAATCGCCATCTCAATCATGCTTCAGCAAGCAAAGAGAGATCAAAGACCAGCAAACAAGTCTCAACATGCAACAACAACAAACACACGTGTTCTTTGGTAGTTAATATCATTTTAACATTGTTTATTTTATTTATTGTAATTAGCAACATTATTTGAATGTTTTAATTTTGATTATCTCGATATTTCATGTACGAAATTTTTTAATTTAATTTTTTTAATGTATGTTTTCTATGTTTATCATACTATATCAATATATCAAGCAACACCCACACACACACACACGGACAAACACACATACATGCACACCACTGTTTAACTATGGTTGAAATAAATTCATTTAAATCATATTTTATTAAATATGAATAAAATAATTATGTAAATACCACTACACTGATTAGCTTGAGCACGATTTACGTTTTGTTTTAAATTTTAGCGCCCACTGATTTTTTCCCGTATTCTATTTATACCAATAGAAAAATTAAATTAAATTTACTTATTAAAATCATTCATATAAAATAAAATATTTGCGTTAAATATCTTTTTTCATATTTGCTATAAATTATTTAGTTGCTAAAAATTTAATAGGAAATTTTAACAAAATTAAACTTCTAATTAAAGTCACTAGAAAATAATTAATGAAATGACTAGTTAATGACTTAAAGTAAGTTACATGTTCAATAATAAGTGAAAAGACTGTTCAAAAAGTAAAAATGATTTAAGCTTAAAAAGCATGGAAAATAATATAATGATTTTCAAAATCGAATAAAAAGTAAAATTAACCTTTTCAAAACAAATATTATTCAAATTATTAATTTTTAGTTACACTATATTTCCTTCTAGCCGCTCCATTTGGCGTGATTTCTTGTGTGTTCAAGTTGTTTTTCTCATCGCACCTGTGCGCAACCGTACTTAATAATTATTTATTAATATAAATTATTATTTTTACTCTTAATATGTATTTATTATTATTATTAACAGATATGCTTTTTTTGGTATTTCTATACCATCTTCAGTGTTGTGGTTGTGCCTCTACTCTACTTTGTTAATTCCCTATTTGTTTAAAGTGAATATTTAGTTTTACAATATTTAACATCATTAAATATAACACTTTTACATGTTTTCATTATTGATGATTCCTCTGTTTCTAAATTTATTGATAGGAAGAATTCCAATTGCCCGTTTTTGAATATTTATTATCGCATGTCTTTGTTCTCTAAGTTGATTCGGCTAGTCTTAAATTATAATGGTTGTTATTGTAATGTAAGATTTCAACATTGTGGTCCAAGATTTGTCTAGTTAATTTAGTTTTGTGTTTCTTTTTCATGTGATTCTATATAGCCCCAGTTTGTACGTGCATCTGAGTCTTCTCGATAACTTGGTCGTCGTCATACCAATATATTCAAAACTATGGTGCCCGCACTCATAAATATTACATTTGAACAAATATATTAGATGGCCATGATCCATTATCAATTCTGGTTTTATAGTGCAGTTGGTTTTCATTCATGGATATATCCATGTTTTCATCACAGGAGATGACGTTATATATATTAAATCTATGATTGTAAGTTTTTTTCATCTCTATTTCAAATATTCTTTGTTTCTAAGTTTTTGTGGCGCCTCGTATAAACATTTGTCGTAGTTATAAAATTAGCATTTAAATTTTTTTTTAACTTTCATTATCGAGTTTGAATATTTAAATAAAACATGCCGAAATCAAAAGAATTTGTGGATAGTGATTCAGAAAGTCAAAGTGAAAGTGAAGACGAGAAGGTGGGCGATAATTAAAGGGATTGGCTACTAAAGTTGAAATTTAAAATTTGTTATAGTAATAAACAAGAGAGTCAGTGTACATTGAGAACCAAGAACAATTAGCGTGGCGAACAGTATGAATACCTTTTGAATATAGAATAGCAATAGATAGAGATAGTTTTAGTAAAACTTATCTAAATTTTATTTTATAGTTTATACTGTAATACTTTTACAGTTTAATTAAATGTTTAATTTAAAAGTAAGAGAAAGAAAAATAAGGAATAATATAAAAAATTAAAAACTGTTGAGTTTTAGATTTTAAAGTAGTTTACTTTTTAGTTTAGTTTAGTTTTAGGTTGTTAATTAAACTTCAAACTTACTTAAGAAAAGTTTAAAAGCATTTTTTTTATGTTTCAATATTTTTTGTAAACATTTTTAAATTTAATAATAATATTTTTATATTAATTGTTAAAAATCATTTTACTTGAAAGCCAAAAAAGAAACAAAAAATGGAAACAAAAAAACCCAAAAAGGGTGAGAAAGAGAAGTCAACAGCATGTTCAAAAGGAGCATCCTCATCAAATGCTGCAGGAAGTGGTGAAACTATGATCAATGTGCGTGTGTGTGTGTGCGTGTGTGTGTGTATATGTATTTCTGCATGTGTACTTTCTGTGTCATTTGTAAAAGTTGAGATTATGTAAACCTTTACAAAAAAATTACTTTTTTGTGAATTGTTAACTCAAGTTTATTTTCAACTTCAACAATGGTTGGATATTAATTTAGAAATTTTGTTTGTTAAGCTTACCTTAATAAAGCCTATCTGAAATGATTAAATAAAAAACTTGCATTTATTTTTGCAATGTTTTGATCTCTGGTTCAGCTGTGTAATGTGATGTAATATAATGTAATGTAATGTAATATGGCACTTTGATCAGGTGTTGTCGTGGTAGTTTGTGTTGCATTTTTTACCTGCCTGCTTTTATTTTGCTATGTCTCATTAAATTTCATTTTCCAATGTTACATAAAAAAGTGTGCGACTTTGTTCTTTGCTGTTCTGAAAAACCTTATTCAAATTCATTAATTAAATGAATTAATTAGAACAGATCATTCAAACAATTTGTTTGCCTTAAATAGTTAGGAAAAAAGAAATTTGCAACAGTAAGTGAATTCAGAGGCACAAAATATGTGAACATCAGAGAATATTATGGAGATGATGGAGATCTCAAACCTGGAAAGAAAGGTTTCTATGTGATTATTTGTAAACAGTTTTTATATTATCTTTTTTTGTCACGTAGATGCATATCATGCAAGAAATTTGATATTGTTTTTGGTTCTGTTATCATTGTGAATAACCTTGAATTTATTTCTAAGGATCTGTTGTTATGACAATTTTTGGAGTTGTGTTAGTATGGCAAATAGATATTGGTGTGAATTTATTGTGATAGCTCATCCGAGCTAAATGGTTCAATTGGTAGTGTATAAATGTTTTTATAATAATAAATATTATTAGTTTCATTAGTTAATCTCACATACATATTTTAAAAAAATCAGTTTTAAAATCTAAATGATATATATCAGGATTATATTTGAAAACTAACATTTTATGCCTGTAGACTTTCTCATATTCTTCTTATTGAAATTAGCAATAAATGTTACTCTTATGATATTGATCACTGCTTAATCTTTCGAGGTTAATTTCTTGACATTTTCAAAAAGTTTTGGCTAGTAAAAGTTCAAACTTGATTGTCATAAAAATAAATTTCTTCCTACTAGGAATCGCATTGTCAGTTGAACAATGGAACCAATTGAAGTCCTCTACCAGTAAAATTGATGCTGCATTGGAAGCACTTTGAAAGATTCTCAATATTATTTCATCATTGTGTTGTGTATTTATGAACATGTCCATAATTTCATTTTTTTTATTTTTGACTGATCTTAACGTCTGTTTCCCTTTAAACTGTTTCACATGTTAATTAACTTCGACGTAAATTATATCTACAATTATACTTACCTCGCCGTGAGTTTGTTCCGAACATCAATCAATTAGTTTATAAAGCGCTGTTTCTGCGATCAACAGCGCTCCTCAATGAATTTTGCAAACAGATGGGTCTTGAGATCCGCTCTGGACTTCGTAAATGATGGAGAAGTAGTCAAAGAAGGAGGTTGAGAGTTCCAAAGAAAAGGGCCAAATTCAGATTTAGCAAAAGAATGTTTAACACGAGTTTGGAAGATGTGAGAACAAAAAGACGAGACGAACAAGATGTGAGAACAAGAAGACGATCCTAAACCGGTGCGTTTAGGTTCAATTAATATATCTGATAAGTACTTAGGAAATAATTTAGATTGAGACTTATAATAAATGTATAAATTTTAAAAATTATTCTATATTTATAGGTAGCCAGTGCAAGAAAACAAGATATGGAGATATATGAGAAAAGAAAAGGGCACGAGCAACTAAACCGAGCAGCAAAGTCAAAATCTGTAATTAAAGGATAGAGTGTAGAATCAAGAAGACCGTAGCAGAGCGAGTTACAATAATCATTCCTAGATAAGAGACTGTTCATAAAGGATGTCACGCTTTTTTAATGTTTTTTTGAACCCTTCCTCCCTCGTGTCACAAATCGACCAACCCCCAAAAATATGCATGTCACAAAACTTTATCCCCCCCCCTCTTGTTGAAGAGTCATTAACCAATGTAATTGTTCTATGCATTTTATTTTTTATTGATATCAAAATAACGAATGAAAAGTTTATATGACGTTAGTTTGATATCTAAATGCTTTACCGTAGTTAAAAACATGAATTAATATTAGCTTCTACACCTAAACAGCGGCAAACTTTAACGATGGCATTTAAATTTTTACTTGAAAATTTTTACTTTTTACCTTATCTTTTACTTTAATATTCATTTTGCGCATATATATGAAAAAAATTTATTGTTTAGTTTGTTTAAAAAAGGGACGTCACACTTGGGTTTACCCTCCTCCCCCTCGTCACAAAGTGTCTAATATTTAGACTCCCTTCCCCATTAAATTTTAGAGAAATTTAGAAGGATTAAATTTAAGGCACATAGACCAAGTGATAATTGAATAAAGACAGAGATAGATTATGAAAAACACTATTGAGATTAGATGAAGGAAAAGAAGTATAAATATAAGAATCATCAGCCCCTTCGAGTGCATAGTATTGTCGGCTGTTCATTGTTACAAATGGTTGATTTTCTATATATGTATATTCTATGTATATGATGCATTTATTAGATTCTAAGTATATGATTTTATTCTAAATATCTGACTTCAGTTAGTTGAACAGTTGAAAAGTGAATTTAAAAGATTGTTTTCAGGTCTTTGTTGATCATAAAATAAAAAAACAACTTCCTGTATACACGTAGCCAACATTAAAAATTGTAACATGTAAATAAGTAAATGGTGTGAGTTCGTTCGGCTCCATCGCTGCATTCATCATATTCTCATTTCATCGCCTTTTCATTTCACTAACTTGCTACAAAAAATTTAGGTAATGGCGAATGTCGCGAAGAATTCTGTTGTTGTGGGATTGAAAGATTTGGAGGGACGTTGGAGCCTCAAAATTTCTGAAGTTTACCCCATAGCTTTGAAATTTTTTAAAGGTCCATATATTTTTTTGTTGAGAACTTTTCCTAAACTTAAATGAAAAGCGAAAGAGTAATTTGACTGAGTATTATAGAAAATAATTAACATCAGTTTTTTTGGTATAATAGGTTGCTAACAACAACAACAACACACGTTTAGATGACATTTTCCCCGAGATCAGGGGTTGCCATTTGGCTACCTATGATGAAACCGAAATACCTCTCGACGCCATCCACATCTGTCACTCGCCTCAGTAACACGCAACCCCACTTTCACCCTGTCCTTCTTCACCTGCTCTCTCCATCCCAATCGCGGACGACCCCTTCTTACCACTCCTTCAACATCGAACTCCAACGCTCGCCTAATCCCGACCCTTTCATCCCCTCTCAACACATGTCCATACCACCGCAATCTCAATCTCCTTATCAATGTCACAATGTCCTCATTCAGTCCCATCATCGACATCAGCTCTGTACTACTCCTCCTATCCTTCACTTTAACCCCACACATCATCCTCACCATAGCTCTTTCAGCCCTCTGCAGTACACTTTCTTCCTCTTACTCGCCTCTATAATAGGTTGCTAATGAGTTGCAAATGAAAAGATTATAAAAATAATGTTGAAAATTTTTTTTCATGTATTTTTTTTCGTGCAACTACTTAATTATATATTATAACAATATGACCTGATAAAGATAAATAAATAATTAAAATTAATTAAATTAAAAGTGGAAGTCGTCTTTTATTGATTCTGTTTTGAACTAAAGAAAGAATAGATAGACATATATATTTCAGCATTAGAGTGAGTTTAAATTTTAGTTAGGAATCAAGATTCAGTTTTAGCTGGCAAATAATCCTAATTGAGAATCATGATAATGATGATATGTTTATTATAATTATGATATATATATATTACGGGGCAGCGTTTATTATATGTTTATTATAATTATGATATATATATATATTACAGGGCGGCGTGATGGCTCAATGGTTAAAGGCGCCTGGTCATGCTATTGCAATGACTGGGTTCGAATACAAAGAGATCCCCGCCTATCATTTGCAATGTGTATGATGCGTGGTTTGCACGGGTATTCATATACGCTGTGTGTTTGTCGTTGAAACCTCTGAAGCTAACGCAAAAGAGAAAGCAACCTTTAACCTTTATATGGATATAATAAAAATATAATAATGATAATAAGCTGACAATTATGATAATTGTCATTCATTAGCATTCATTATTAACTGATTATACAAACGTGATGTATCTGTCTCTATATTTAGTTATATATTTATATAAATTATAATATAATTGGGCAGCAATGGTAAAGTAATGGTAAAGTACTTGGTGTAATGGTAAATTGCTTTCAGCAACCAGATTCAGTTGCAGAGAATCCCTCTTTGCCTCTCACATGTAGTGCATGTATGTGTATGTGCGTGTGTGTGTTAGTGTGTGTGTGTGTGTGTGTGTGTGTGTGTGTGTGTGATGCACTGCTTTATTTCATGCAACTGTGTTTGTTGATGCCTCTGGAAAATAGTGAAGAAAAGAGGGAGGACTGCAACTAATAAATAAATTAATATTTATATACATTTTTTTTAAATAATTTTAAAGTGACTCAACTTTATTTAATAATAAAGCATCTTCAAAAAATAAACTCTAAAAAGACATAACTTTTGTAAATTTTTAAATTCTTGGTAACTTACAATTTATTTAGGTAGATGGTAGTTCAGCCAATTTTATCTCCAATATTGCATATAAATTTAAAAATTAAATTAACTTTCATTTTTAACACTAATCATGAACAAAACCTGCAGAGAAAAACGGGAGCAAAGCCCTGACCTTGACATACAACGACAGGTTGAAGATGTTTGCCCTGATGAAACAGGCTGTCCACGGCAAGTACACACCTTCCTTGATGCCTGACAACGGATTGCTGGATGTCGTCGGCAACAACAGGAGGTCAGTTCGTCTGGGTCTGTGGTTCCAGTGCATATAAACTATCCAAAGGCTTTCACATATATGTATATATATGTAAATGTTGGAAAGAAACCATATTTTATGTATTTTAAATTGTTGGCATTAACATTTTTCGGAAGATTCTAGTAAAGAAAATTGAAATGACAAAGTTTGAATTGATTAATGCCAACAATTTGGTAGAATTCACACAATACTGTGTATATGTGTGTGTGTTTATATGTAGGCACATATTCATACACTACATATGTACATGTTTGTATGTGCTTGTCCTTCCATCTTGCAGATGTCATTCTGTGTTTTGTAATCAATTGATTCAAAAAATCACATAAAAGATTGGTCTATAATTTATTACAGGGCAGATTTCTCTTAGAATGCTAATCTGCAGTCAGTGTTAACAAATTATGTTATAGTATTTGTAAACTGTGGAAAATGCTTAATGCATTGCATGTGTATTAGGGGGTTGATTTTTTTACAACTATACATGGGTATAGTGCCAAAATCGGACATTCTACATGAGATTACCAATTGCAAAACTTTCATTAACATAACATAACATTTAATAATGAGCGTAGATTAAAATCCATGTGCTCATATCTAATATGTGATAATAATACATGTGCTCATATCTAATATGTGATAATAATTTAAATGTCCAAAAAACAATAATAATATGAAATAGTATTAAAAAACTAATAAAAAATAAATTAAATAAATACAATAATAATAACAACAACAAGAAAAGTTAACTTCAGTACAATATCAATAACAAAATAATCGAACATATATAAAAGCAATATGTATCTGTCTATCTATCCAACATATACATAGTCCTCATCGCCGGTGCCAATGACCACCAATTCACCCATCACACCATCCGTCACTTCATCCTGGCCATCACCAATCCAGCTTCACGACATCGTCCACTGCAGACAAGCCTCGTAGCTACACCATCCTTGTCGACTCTGAAAACTATTAGAAATAAATGTAGTTAGTTCCAAATTAGTTAATTTAACACCTACAGGTGTTGAGAATCTATGCCAAAATCTTAGAATTATAATTACCATTTAAGATGTTTTTGTTTACATTTTTAGAATTTTCTCCATAATTTTAGATTAGAAAAATGTATTTTTTTCCTAAATTTAAACTTTCCAGATTTTTGGTTAACTATATTTTTGATTGTTCATGTTGGACGGTAATTAACGTTAATTAATAACTTAGGCATCTTTGTGTGTGTGTATGTGTGTGTGTGTATTTTTATATTTATTGTGGGCTGTTAATATGCCATTGTTTTTGTTCATTTGCATTTTTTGGTTTTATCATTCTTGTCAACATAACTTTTCTCTATTGCCTGTTTGCTTGTTTAATAGTTTTCTCGGTTTCAATTTTTTTTCACCATGCCTGCTGCTGCTATGTCATTTTAAGATTAATATTTTCAATGTATATGCTGCTTTTGCCATGAAAGAAATGTTTTATGTTAATGTCAAAACTTTTGCTGTGGTACAACGTAAGTATCACGTGTCTGGTGTTTGTGTGTGTTTGTGTGTGTGTGTCTGTCTGTCTGTCTGTGTGTGTGTGTATGAGAGAGAGAGAGAGAGAGAGAGAGAGAGAGAGAGAGAGAGAGAGAGAGAGAGAGAGAGAGAAAGAGAGATAATATGTGGTGTTGCCAAGTTAATGATCTGCAATGATATTTTGTAACACATGATGATTGATGATTCAAAAGTATCTGATTAGTAGTATTGAGAGGGTTTCTTTAATGATATGATGTTGTGTAGTACTATAAACTGAACATTTTAATGATAATGGTCAGTCATTATGACAATGGTAAATAATGATGGTTGTAATAGTTATATTGATGGGGACAATGATGATGATTATCATCTTTTGACAATATGAGAAGAACTGCTTTAGTCAATCAATCAATCTTCGTTTTGTGTCCAGAGTCCCGGTTCCCCGAGGTAGGACGTAAAGTAGAAGGACTACTTTAGTAAACTTGAATATACCTTTATTGATGATATAGTAACTTATGATGAAGCAGACAAAGTGAAAGACTACAAGAGAATACTAATTGAAGTCTATAGTATAGAATTCTACAGTAAAGTATAGAATTGTAGATTGCATGAGGCATGAGTAGTTTCAATCCTCGTTTATTGTACATTTCTATTCCTTGAAGAAACAAATCAAGTTGGATAGTAGATAGACATGTTATGAGCATGATGATGGTGATGATGAAGATGTTAGCTCTGTTACCACTCGCCAATGTTTTGCAACAGCTGTGTTGGCAATTTACATGACGAATCATTCAAGAACTTTCTGGTTCGCCATCCTCATTTATATGTTGATCAATTTCAATTGATTTCTTCAATAAGTTAGTCTGGCCAAGTATATGCAGCCACATGCTGATTGCAACAGATGTAACTGGTGGTTGCGCTGATAAATGATCGGCATGCTATCATAAGGTCAAATGATGATTTTACCTGCTCATTAACATTCAGGATTTATAGAAAACTAATTAAAAAGTTTTCTACAAGTTCTATCTGATCTGCATCATTGTTTTTGCCGGTCTGTACCTATGTAGTATGAGACGTCCATTATATTCAGAACTGAATGGATATAATTTGTTTGAATACGTTGAATATGGCTTCAAAATAGTTGTCTAATTAGCAATGAAGTACCCTTAACTGATTATTAAAGCTATCAACGGCCCACACAGTGCATATGAAACACGCAAAGCGTATGCTACTTGTCATGCGCTGGAATCAACTTGCATTCAAATCCAGTCACTGCTGCAGCGAGACCAGCAGCGTTAACCATTTCACCACTCAGATGCCCAAATATTATTTTCTCAATGTGTTTTGTTACTAGGCAGGCCTGGCAGCTACTGGGGGACATGTCTCAGGAGGAAGCCATGAGTCAGTTTGTTGGCATGTTGGATCGCTTGTGTCCGCTGTTCACTCACGTCGTCGAGGCTCATAAAGTTGAGAATGATGAGATGGAGAGGAGGAGGTTTGTTATGTCGTCAGTCATTCATCCAATCAATCATCCAGCCACTCTATCAACCAATCAATCATCCAAAAATCAACCAGCCAACCATAATAATCAACCAATCAGCCAGCTAAGCAATCAAACAACTAACCAATAAACTTAATACCTGGTTTTCTCAAATGATCAAATAATTTGTAAGGCAATTACTTTAATCAGTCAACTTGCACGTTGTGGTGCAATCTGTTGATTAATTTATTAATAATTTTTCCAATAGTTAAATATCACAGTGATGTCTTTGGTACAGTGGGAATGATGATGACGACGACGATGATGATGATCTGTGATATAATTTGATTTTTAGTGTTGTAATGATCCTCTTTGTATGATGATTTAAGGTGGATGGTGGTGATGTTGAGATGATGCTCAGGATTTGTGATGATGTTTTATTCTTCACTCACGTTTCTCTTATCATCAATATCGTTAATGTCATCATTGATAGTTGCTATTGCTCTGTTGGTAATGTCATTTTAGAGTGATGCGAACGTTAGTGGTAATATTGCCAGGCCATAGTAACAATAATATGTGATGGTATTTTGGTTCTTTATTCATTAAGTATCTTTGGATCGTTTCGTTTGTTTTGTCATGGTTGATGTTATTTTATTTCGTACCCCTCAATTAACGTTGATTGCATGATGGTTCAGGAAGGAGGAAGAGGAAGAAATGACGCGTCAGTTGAATGCCAAGGCCGAGGAGGTTAAGAAGCAGCAGGAGATGATTCAGAGGCAGATGTCGCAAGAGTATGTCGTGATGGTGTTGGTGCGATTGTTGTTCTTGTGATGCTGATGCGATCGTTGTTGCTCTTGTGGTGACGTGATGGGGTGGTTGTTGTGGTTGTCGTGTTGATGTTGATGTCGTGTTGATGTTGTTGTTGTTTTCTGGTAGGATGTGATATGATATGCTATGATTATGTTGATGTTGTTGTTTGTAGTCTATCGTTGAGGATGTCGTGTTAATATTATTATTCGTGTGTGTCTTACTTTGTTACCTGTCCTAATAAAACTAACATCTGTTTAGCTTTTTGCTTTTTTTGCTGTGACACAGCAAACTTAATTACTTCCTCCAGAGGTATTTCATTTATATCTTCATGGGTAGTTTGTTCTAATTGTCTAAATGTCTATTTAATTGTAATATGTAGCGTGGGTAAGCACACGCACACACGTGCTTTAATACACACTCACACAAACACGTGTACACGCACCGACAGACAACACACACACATACTGCAAACATTAACATACACATACAAGCAAACACACACATATACATATGAGCAAACACACTGATCACATACAGGCATGCAAACACGCACGTACACATACAGGCAAACAGACGCACACATACAAGCAAACACACACACGCATACAAGCAAACACACACATACACTTACAAGCAAACATACACACATACAAATGTGCATATGCAGGGCCTTAGTGAGGAATGCATTGAATCAGCAAACATACAGCCAGTTTCGGTTGTATGCGCAACTCCAATATCCCAGCAACCCACAACAGGTTGGTTTGTTTCCTTGGTGATGTTGCTAATGACATTGTTGACAACGTTTCTCTGGTGCTGAAGTTACTGTTGTTGTTGTTGTTATTATTATTATTATTATTGATGTTGTGTTTTTGTCGCTGTTAATTACATCGTGACGACGAAATGTTGACGGTGTTGATTTGACAACCAAACCACACAGCAAGATGCCTTAGTTGTTCAGATGCAAGAACAACACTTCATAAAGTACATGCAACAAGTCTACAGTCAGCAACAACTCATCATTCAACAGCAGCAACAACAACAAAATTTAAAGCAGCAAAATGGGCAGGTACAACAGCAGAATGTTTCTGAAGTAAGTCAACAACTGCAACAGCTCAACATTCAACAACATCTCAACACTCAACAACAACAACAACAAAATAATTTAACGCAACAACAACAACAATATGCCACAACCTCAGCAGTGACATCAACAACACCGCTAATGAAATGCATTGCCAATGGAGTAGTAAATGTATGCTACCAATTTTTTAATAATAATAATAATAATGTCATTTATAAGCGCCCTATGCATAGCGTCAGAGGGTTAGGGTTGTGGGAATAACTTGTGGGAGGTTGTTATTGTTGTTGATGATGTTGTTGTTATGTTTGTTATCGATGATGATGTTGGGAAGTAGACATTGCCGATGTTGATAGGATTGTAGGTGATGGCATTCAAGATGCCATTGATTTTGTTGCTGCTGCTGATGTTAATGCTGTTGATGTCGCAGCTGACGATGTTAGTGTTGGTCGAGGATGATGTCATCATAGCCAGGGATGTAACGGGAGTAATATTATTAGTTGTAAAGAGATTGGATATGATCTTTTAAGGTGCCTGTTTGTGATTATCTTTTTGTTATTATCTAAGATTATTATTTCATTGCACCAAACATTTTGCCCTCCATTTCACCCTGATGACATAAAATCATTTGCGTCACTTCTCATTCAGAGTTCTGTGCAAGCAGCCACAGAAGCAACAACAGCAGCGCAAGCATCATTATCATCACCGGCGACCACAACGACGACGAAGATGACAGGTGAAGGGGGGCTCGTTAGTTCCAGCAGCGGCATCAACATTAACTTTGATCACAAGGGAGAGACTATTCATGGTTGGTTAGGCTGTTCTGATGTCGCTTGTGGTTGCTGCTTTGCTTGCTGCTTGTTTGCTGCTTAGTTCTGTGAACTATTCAACTGTCGGCCATTGATTTGCTGATTGTGTAATTAGTTAATTTATTTTTTCATTCATTCATTCATTCATCCATTCATTCATTCATTCATTTTTTCTATTTCTTAACCTTATTGCTGACCAGTTTAACAAACGTGAATACCATCCACGATCCAGCATTTTTCCTACAAGCAAATCACAGCATCCTATAATAATATCATAACTTCAACAACATCTAGCAAACAACCTCATCGCAACAACATCCCATAAATAAAACAACACCATAACAGTAACAACTGCAACAACAGCAACAAACGCTACACACAGCAGATCATCCACTGAAGATCGAGACGGCCTCCCTGTGGACTCGTAAGGACTTGAAGAACTTCAAAGAGTCTCTCAACTCCGAGCAGGACTCTGTCATCAACATCGGCTCGGGAGAGCTTGTCACTGTCAGTAAACATTCTGTCTTTGTTCTTTCTCTTTTTTTTACAAGTTCTCTTGTTGTTGTTGTGGCTGTTGTTGTTGTTGCTGCTGCTGCTGTTGTTGTTGGCATATAGTTATTGCAAGCATAAATGTTACAATTAACTTTTGTTAATTAAACTAACCTGACTATGCGTATGTATAAATATTTCAGTTACATCACAATCGCCAATCAATCAATCGATCAATCGAATAGTTGAAAAGATTTTTGAAAAAGAAATTTTTCTTCTATGATAGTGATTGAAAACTGAAATCTGATTAACTTCTATCTAATTGAGGCATGTCTCATAATGGGAGCTGCTACGTGCTAATTGGATTAAGTTATTCTACCTATTCTTCTCTATTTAACCTGATTATTTTGAGGCTGCTCATCTTTGCAGGGTTTAAAAGTTGATGTTAAGTTTCAAATACCAACATGATTTCCACATAATGCAACACTAATGAACACACACATGCACACCCCAGCACACTCAACATGACTCACCGCAACATGACTCACCGCAACATGATTCACCACAACTAGGTTCGAGTCCCGACTCACGCCAATGGCACCTCTATATTTTGGGAGTTTGCCACAGATGGGTATGATATTGGATTCGGATTGTCATTTGAGTGGAGTCCCGACTCATCTTCTGATGGTTTGTGGTTGGGCTGGTGGTGGTGGATGTCTATCAGTTGATTGATTGTTTTAGTAGATGGTTAATTGGCTGGTTTATGAATTGGTCGGTTGATTGGTTGGTTGTTTAACGTTAACTGATTGATTGGTTCTACTATGATTGATTGGAGAAACTTGCTGAATATTTTTGTTTAAATGTTTTTACATTATTTTTGTGAAATTAATTATGCTCTGTCATATTTTATGTTTTCGTTTATTTCGAAACCAACAAGTGGGCCGGATGGACGTTCGAACGTGATGACGTTGTTTGAACCAATTGGTTTTGTTATTTTGCTCCTAGTTTGTGGTTTTAATTATTTAAAAAATGATATACTGCATTGACGTCTCTTGTGTAACGGAGTGTTTGCATCTCATTTAAAATCGTCTAGATGTTAACCCATTGTTGAGAATTATTTCCAAACCATAGCAAAATGGTCTTTAACGTCTCATCCCTCCCCACATGCTACAGACGTAGACACCTCCATGAAAGCTGCATTGCCTGCAACAGCATCAAAAGAGACGAACAACACTGACGGTAGCAAAGTGAACGTCGCGAAGAAGGTTGAGGTAGTTGTCCCCATCGTACGGCGACAATCCCAGTCGGAGGTTCAGTGCGGCAGTCACGTCTACCCAGGCTCTGGTGTCTACCTGCTCATGTTCGATAACTCGTACTCACTCTGGAGGTCGAAGACCATATTTTATAGGGTTTATTATTCGCAGTAACTGGTAATCTTATCGTCACTTTTTTAAGGGTTAACTTACCTCTGTCATTATTGTTTATATGATTATTGTTTGTTAATTTTAAATTATTGTATGTGACGGCTTTTGTCGTTGTTGTTGTTGTCGCTGTTGTTGTTGTTGTTATTGTTGTTGTTGTAACTTGGTTGTTGCTATTGATTTCGGTGGTGATGTTTACTGCTGTCGTGAGTGCAGGGGGTTGTGGCGCCTGCCTGCCTGCCTGGTGCTGACGTGGCCGGCATGTATTGATCTCGACGTTATTTTACAGCATCAGTTATGCATGTTGGTAGGTAGGTAGGTAGGTAGGTAGGTAGGTAGGTAGGTAGGTAGGTAGGTAGGTAGGTAGGTAGGTAGGTAGGTTGTTTTTTGTATCCTTCCGCGGTTGATGATGGCGGCGATGGTGATGATGACGTTGTTTTACAGAAATTTTTTATTATTTTATTATATTTATTATTCAGTGGTCGAATGACTTTGTTGTGGTGTCATTAACAGATTTTGGTATTTGTTTAAATTTGTAAATAAGAATAATAAAATTATTTGTACAATTTATTTGAATATTTAATACTCGATACATGATTTGTGATTTTATCTTCACGAACTTCCTACTATTATCATTGTGGAGAAATGCTTTCAATTTGCATGATTGCAACTTTCCATTTGTACATCTGGTTCTGTGTGATTGTGTGTTAGTGTATGCTTGTATGTGCACTGTCTGTTTGGATATGTGTATTTCTATGTGTTTGCAAATTCGCATTTGTCTAAATACAATTTGTCTTTTTGGTTGTTTTTGTCTGTATGCGTGTGTGTATGTTTGTGCGTATCTATGCGAATATATATCACCAGCCTATTTTCACAATTCTGAACATGGAAATCTTTTTTTTGATTGCAAGAAATTAAAAAAACCAAAATAACGATGTTTTTTTCATTAATTGCTCCTATTGTTTCAGATTTAGAAAGAATGATTTCACATTTCCATTACATTCCTTTCATTAGAATGAGCAATTCTTTTCATCACGGAGTTTTAAACGATCATTTAATTTCAGCGGACGACCTCACGGATACCCTGCATGCATTCTGCATGAACATTACTCATTCATGACACCACACCGATCTTGCAAGTGTCACTTCTCAACAGTATACCAACGTCATATGCATACAAACTAAATAACACGTCACCGTTCACTTGAACATATTATAGTTGGGGGATCACAGTTGCGTTTGAACAAATTCACTGTGGAACTTTCACGATAATGTAATCTCTTTAAATTACTGCCCGTTTTTATTAACAATGCATTACACATGTAGGCCTACTAGGCCTCTCTAACCAGCTGGCACGATAATTTGATTGTTTGTTTACTGCTCTGTTATGTTTCAGCTCAATCTATCAGCTGATCTGCATTTAAATAAATATTCGAATATTTCTTGTAACATTCTGGGATTTTCAGACAAGTCAAGATTTTCATTCATTTGTTAATTTATTCCTTGGTGTTTAGATATTTTTAATGTGATTATGATTAATGTGGCTGCTCCATTTCCGGCAGGTTGGCTCTCAATTTCGTAAATTATTCTGCATCTGTGCTTACCTACACACCACACACACACACACACACACACACACACACACACACACACACACACACACACACACACGTACATGCATATATGTGTGCAGAAGAAAGCACCACATCAACTTATCACACACACTCAACGTTTGGTTGCTGCCGTGCCAACTTCTGCTGTTATAAATCACCATCAATATTACTCTTATCGTAACTCTTATTGTTATTATTTGTTTGCGAAAAAATATTTTTTATTAGTTTTTATTGCTTGGTTCAAGTGAAGATAACTCACATTTTGTAATGATTCGTATTCATCAATTTCATCAGTTGGTTGTTGCAAGTAAGGTGTACCATTAAAACATCAAACTAATCATAATAACATTGAAATAATTTTATTTATATGCGTAAATAAACGAATTGAAAAATCAGATTCTTCTCCATTTTTAGTATTAATATATGCTTTTTAAATTGTTATCTCAGAAGAGCTCATTAACAATGGTTAAAACAATTTATGTCAAGAAAACGTTTCATTAATCGAAGAGATGAGTCTTTAAAAGCTTTCTGAAATTCTTGGTAGTTGTCGCAAGTAGCCCGGTAGATTATTCCATACTTCTGGGCCAGCAATACAAAAATTTCTTTAAACAATCTTTAAACGTGATGATGGATGGTCCACCAAATTTTTATCGTCGCGACGTAAGTTGTATGGTTTTGAAAACGTCGCTTTAGAAGCGCATCTGTCAGGTAAATACTTTGGAGCAAGTCCATTTATGGCCTTTAACATCGAAAGCAAAATATTGAATGTAACTCTTATCAACCTTCAACCAATGTAGTTCTCGAAATATTGAAGTCACGTGGTCATATTTTGCAGCTCCCACAACAAGCTTGGCAGCACGGTTTTGAATGAGATGAAGCATAGATATCATCTTGTCTGGTAGACCAAAAAATAAACTATTACTATATCTCTTTAAAGCAATCTTTTAACTATTCTCAAATGCGCAACTGATTCAGACAAGTATTTGTAATAAATTTTACGTGATGATGCATTGTTAGTTGTGGGTCCAGGATGCAACCCAAATTGACAGCCTTGGAAGAAAATTTAACCTGATCGTTTATGATAGCTTAATCGATTTTAATTCTTGAGAGCTGTTGCCATGTTCTAATTGGCATTAATCGCGTTTTACATTAATTTAACTTTAAACGGTTGCTAGACATCCAAACATCTATTTTCGTCAGACATTTGATGAATTTGTTCAACATAACTTTTTAATAAAACTGAAAGCAGAGTTTCGCTGTCCCCGATATACCCAGCAAAATACCATAATCGACGTTTTTCGTTTCTGTCACTGAAAATAATGTGGACAAAAATATCTTACAAAGCTGTTTCTGTTGAATGATGTCTTCTGAATCCTGACTGATGCACAGGCAACAAAATATTTTCTTCTAAATGGCTAACCAGTTCATTAGCAACTGTTCGTTCCATAATCTTTGGCATAAACGGGAGATTTGAAACTGCTCTGTAGTTATTTTTGTCGCTTGTATCCAACCCATTTTTCTTCGAAATGGTATGACCAGGGCATGTTTGTACAAAACAGGAAATTTTCCAATACTCAAAAATAGGTTGATGAAACTGGTGACAAACTTTAAAAATAAGTTGAAATGCTTTTTGAAGAAGTGGGCAGGCAAGCAGTCGAGATTGCAGGGTTTAGACGGCAACCACGAGCAAATGATGAAGGATCACTGGATATCAAGCATTTTAAACATAAAAACAAACAAACGAAAATTGAGCTTCTCGAGTGTGGCGTAGATCGTATATGTATCTAGACATCGCGCTTCAAGTTTCAATTGAAACAGTAACAATTTGTAGTCAGGCGTGTACTTGTCAGAGCTGTATGTTAAACAGCGGAAATCGTCGATGGAGGAAAATAGTTCCGCCGAATGTTGAAAGGGAGTTTGCAAAGATGTGAAAAAGTTATGACGAGTTGATAAGCTGTGTTAATATTTTAGACCAGGGTTTCCCAACCTTTTTAGTGCCGCGCCCAACAACCACGGTAAAAAATAATTATACTATTAATGGTTTTCCCGTTTGTTAAAAAACTTTTGGTTAGCTATTTCATCAATCAGTCATCTATTTTTTTATATTTTATTATTGTATACAATGTAATCCTAGTATTCATTGAATACTGTTTTTACCAACTATTTTCACTTTCACCCTGACCTGTAAAGCCCCACTGATAACGATATTGCCCTCCGGTGGTTTGGGAAAGACTACTTTAAACAGTAGTCGATAAATCTGGAAGCTAGAAAATTAATAAGTAAAAAATGTTTTTTGAAAACGATAGTAAGAATAATCGATGAACAAAATGAAGACGTTGCGATTGAAACATTGAATTTTTATCAATAACGTCCGATGGATAAATTTAATACAAAAACATAAAGGGATCTGTCTTGGAACTGTCAGAGGACTTAGCAGTTATAATGTATAATTATATTCTATTAAGGTCATTATTTTATATTTTATTTATATTCATCGTCACGCATGTAAATGTGAGACGCACCTTACCAATTGCGTCACTAACAGATGAATGAAACACCTCAATAATGTCACCCTGCCTTTGACATTTAATTAATTTTTGAAAATATGAACGGTATTATGAAAATTTGTTCTTATAGTGGTTTAGTGCAAGACGTTGGAAGAAGATTTCAAAATGAAAATATTTATACTGCCACTTCACCATTAATGTGGTCCGGCAAACGAGTATTGATTTCGCAAACACAACCAGCGTGACAATAACATTGCAGTTTATTCCTTTTTGAACGAATGATGACGATTAGAAAGATAAAATTAATGAAATAAATAATCAATCAGAGTTTATATTGATGGAGGAGACAATGATGGAAAGAAGAAAAGAAGGAAAGAAGAAAAGTCTCATTTATCGATTGATTTGAAGTGATGATGGCGAAAATGAAGATGAAAAGATGAATCGTTTATTATACAAATGAAGGTGAGAACGATGGAGACGACGGTGATAAGATCAGATCATTCATCACTGGAGCTGCTGCTACTGGAGTCAGAGGACATCAACTCAACCTCATCTTTGTTGTTCTGGTCGTGTTGTTGTTGTTGCTGCAACTGCTGCTGTTGTTGCAGAACAATTTGTTGCTGCGGAGTCGAGTAGTCGCGCAACATCCTCATGTTGTTGGCTGTGTTGCTGCCGCTATTTGGAGTCGTCGGTTCGACGCTGGATGGAAGTCTGTTGAGCAGCGTGCTCTGTACCTCGGCACTTGGTTGCCATGTCAGTGAACCACTTCCTACAGCTCCCATGTTGTTGGCTCCTCCCATCTGTTGGTACTGCCCACCTACATGATCAAGTGTGGTAACAACTTTTATTGTTAATTGCTAAACTGATAAACTGAATTTGTAACAGTGATAAAATGACAACACTTAGTCAGTCAATGTGAATAATAACACAATGATGAAGCATTCGAAACATGCTAACCTAATTGTCTGTCATTGAACTGAGATAGCCCAGGAATCATCTTGTTGTTGTAGTCAGTGTAAAGTAGACCCTGTCTCATGTCCACCTCCGTCGGGTATGGTCTTCGTGGGTCACCTAGTTATTTAAGAACAACGGCAGTGATGATGTAGTGCGGTAAACATTTTCGGATTCAGTAGTGGCAACTACAACAGTTTTTAAGATGCTGAATAATCATCTTGTGATGGATGTTATCAACATTGTATGCCACAAAAACCGCAGCAAATAATGATTAACTTGGTTAAACCAGTGAATAAGAATGTAGCTACACATAACTCAGCTCTCTTATCTTTAACAATTATTATCACCATCATCACTTCCTCCATCATCATTATCATCATCAACTGAGCCACACAAGCACCAGCCACCCAACTAACCAGCTACCCAACTAACCACCCACCCAACTAACCACCCACCCAACTAACTCATCACTTCCATCATCTGAGCCATGCAAGCACCAGCTACCCACCCAACTAACCAGGTGCCCAGCTGGATGGACATGCCACGGAGTTACTTGCACTGATCTTGTGTGCATATTTGATGAGTTCCTCAGATGAGATCTTCCTGCCGTTCGCCTGCTGGATCGACTTCAACTTCAACTTCGCCTCGTACGTCATCGTCAACTGAGTTGTGTCGTTGCATTTTGAAAAATATGGATTTTTTTACAGAGTTTATAACTGCCATCATCTAATTATCTTGGAAAGATTTTAACTATACTATCTAAATTATCATCATATACCACAGTATAAACAACATTGTTTAAATAATAATACATTTGGAACCAGACCGAATTATAAACGAAATAATAGTTGATATGTGAGAGGCTGTGTGGTTGGTGTCGCTGCTTCATGGCACAACTACAAACTACATAATATAATTATAATCGGCACCAGTGGCTCTCAATTTTTAGTGCTGTGAACCTCTCAACACCATGCACCACAGTGTGTGTCTCAAATTGGAAAGTTCAAGCCTGTGCTTGGACATTTGAATATAATGTTGCATACTTATGATGAGTATGACGGTGCCTGGCTAACAATCTTAACTACAGCACACTAGATTGTATCCATGTATTGTGTACTAGGTGTTGTTAATACCTTTCAACCTAGAAAGAGTTTAATAGACCTTTAACCTTTTTTCAAGTGAAAATTGGATATTAGTAAGATGAAATTTTGTCACCTGAACAAATTTTGAACTAACGCAGGCGAAGGTAAGCATGAATCTACTTTAAATTTTTTTTAATTGTACAAAAATAAGCTTTACACATCAGAAGAGAGACGGAAAAATTATTTTTGATGACTTAAGAAACCCACGGCGAATCATCATTTGGTGGCCAAACAGGATCGCACCCCCTACAGGTCAAGGACCACTGACCAACATATGTATAATCCTAATTCATTATTTATGCTCATAAGAGATTCTTCCTTAATATACAAATTATCAAGTACAAATCTACACATACATGGTACACGGTACCATATGAAAATAATTTTGTCATATTTTGAAAGAGTACTAACGAGAAGTTCCTCAGCCTCCTTGAGATTTTTCTGAAGTTGTCTGATGTAGGCATCTCTTCGGTCGACTTCCAGCCTCAACTCGTCTATCTCCTTCTGAATCTCTCCCTGCTCCCTCGCTGGTGGTCCACCATGTGGTTTAGGAGAGGTAATAATTAGGCATTTATGGAAAGTTACTATACTCATTTCAATAAATTTCTATAGGCATGATGTTTTCTAATGATTTGATAGTTTTGAAAGTAAATGTTAAATAAAAGTAACAGTAGTAGGAGCAGAATGCAGGGATAATTTTTAAATAATGAAAACACAAATATTTAATTACTTAAGTTTCGAGTGACATAAATATAATCTAAATCAACAACTAACTAGTAGTTTAATTGCAAATGAAATGTAACAGAATCAAGATAAGATAACTGGTAAGCATAAAAAAAAAAATGAAAATATTCAAGCTGAAAAACTTAAAACTAACCAGTTCTCATGCATTCCTGAAATTCAATATCCTTTTGTTTGAGGAGGTTGATGAGTTGAGTGGGGTCCATGTCGTCCTGCTTCGTCTGCCTGCTGGACCCCATGTACTCAAGCAACTCTCTGAGAAAATTAAGTGAATTATTATGACTGACTATTTTTCATTATTAAGATAGGTTGTAATTATGTAATTAAACGGGGAACACAGAGCCAGAGATTTATGCTGTAGTCAGAATTTTTTGAGGTGTTACTCAAGCAACTCTCTGAGAAAATTAAATGAATTATTATGACTGACTATTTTTCATTATTAAGATAAGTTGTAATTATGTAATTAAACGGGGAACACAGAGCCAGAGATTTATGCTGTAGTCATAATTTTTTGAGGTGTTACTCAAGCAACTCTCTGAGAAAATTAAATGAATTATTATGACTGACTATTTTTCATTATTAAGATAAGTTGTAATTATGTAATTAAACGGGGAACACAGAGCCAGAGATTTATGATGTAGTCAGAATTTTTTGAGGTGTTGGAGTCAGATATTTTAATTTTTACTGGTTGGGCTTCAGATCATTTCATTTCCAATCATTTCCAAGTAAATTAGTGAGTAAAGTTAAAAGGTAAATGATAGTAAAAGTAAATGAATGGTAAATAAAAAATAATAAAAAATATAAATACTTTGAGACAATTTCAATATCTTCCAAAAGAGCAAGAAGAACCATTCTGGTGCTGACTTTTTGTTCGGGCTCCATTTTTTGCTTGATTGAAAACTTCTTCAATTCAATCTACAATTGATTTTTAACTAAACTAAATATAAATAAAATTACTTTAAGACAGTGTTTTAGTTTTTTTAGCACAGCTAAGAGGCTATCTCTAAAGCTAAACTAAATTAAGCTCCACGCCAATTTTTCGGAGTCAATTTATTAAAAGTACATTGCGATAGTTTGTAAACATGGACGATACCATAAGAGTACCGATCCCACGTTTTACCAGAAAAAAATGCAGGGATGGGAGAACCAGAAAGAAAACCACTAATTAATTCAATTTTATATTTATACTAGATACACGATTGGGAGAAATTGCATTTAAATTTACTTTTAATTATAGTTTAGATTAACTTTTAACAAATTTTTTAAAAGTTTTAAAAACAAATTTATTAAAAAACTAATAAAATATAAAAATTAATTGTTTGAAATATTAACTTTTTAACAAAATACAAAATATTATAATTTATATTTATTTTAGTCAAAAGAAAATTGTAAAAAAAATTTAAACGATCTTTGAATCTACCTGGGGCAAAGATTTTTCAGGTGTGCAGTTTGCCATTAGCGAAATAAACAAATCAAAAATCATTATAAGAAAAGTTTTCAGTCACAATTCCGACTAATTTTTACCACATTTTAAACGTTATTTATTTAAAAAATTTATTACCGATATTACTAATTATTTTACAAGCATGGCGGACAACAAACCATTTTTGATGGCCTGTGGTTTCGGGGTGATATCGTTCGTTCTCTGCCTAATTGGGTTCGGAACAGGTTACTGGTTCGTTAGTGCAGATGACACGAACCTCTTTGAAAGTATTGGTTTGTGGCAGGTTTGCTTCAACGGCTACGAACATACGTCTGATCTGGTTGGGAAGGCCTACTACGGATGTTGGTGGATCTTCTACAAAGAATACTATTACATACGGAATTGGTTAATGCCTCGTTAGTTATTTGTTGTTTTGTTTTTTTAATTGTGGTATAAACAATTTTACCTTTCTCATAAAAAAAACACAATTGATTTGTAAATTGTATTTGTCGAAATACTGTCTAACGTGATTCTCAGCTTGTTGTTGTTGTTGTTGCCCCATTCTGGGGGACTCCTAGGGTTCCAATCGAGGCCGAAGCCAAACCGCCACTGCAATTGGGTTTCTCCAGAGGTCTATTGGTTGTAATTTTGTGGTGTTTTGTGGACAGCTAAACAGATGCGGTACATCATCTGTATGATTGTTGCAGAAAGGACAGATGTTGAGGTTCCCACTGTCGATTCTGTTTTTGTAGCTGTTTAGAAGAATACTATGGCCAGAACATTAGACAGTATTTCGACAAATACAATTTACAAATCAATTGTGTTTTTTTTATGAGAGAAAGTAAAATTGTTTATACCACAATTAAAAAAACGAAACAACAAATAACTGATTCTCAGCTTGGTTCAAAGCGGTTCAGACGCTGATGACGTTGGCAGTTGTGTTGCAGTTCATCTTCCTGCCACTCCTGTTCATAGCGACCGCCGATGCCAAAACAAAAATGTTGAAGATTCTATGCACCATCAATGCTTTCATAGGTTCATTTATAATCATTATTATTATTAAATACATTATTATGTTATATAATTATAACTTGGACATATCTTAACATTCATTGTAATTTTCAACTCATCATCATCATAATCTCTTTCGTGACTCATCACTGCTCCGTTAAAGTCAAATAATGATTTTGTTAATAATGGTTCACTTGTATGCTTACTGGCTCATTTAACAAATGCAACAAACTGCTTCTATGGTAAAGTCATGGGTTTTGTCAAATTCCAGGTATTATGAATTGTATGTTTCACGTCTTTAATTTTAATCTATTAAAACCATGACAGCCTCTCTCATAACGACATCAGTGGTGATATTCGGCGTGATGGTGGGGTTGGATCGAACCTGGGTGCCGAGGTGGGACCAGGACGAACTCGGCTGGTCCTACGGTCTGGCGGTCCTCAGTGGCTTCTTCTCGTGGTTCAGTCTCATCTGCTTGTGTGTTTATACGACGATGAGGAGTTACGAGCTGGAGAATAAAGAGAAGAAGCCATTTGTTCAAAGTGCACCGTCCGGGAAACGCACGCCTCAAGTTTAAGGATGGCTGGCTGGCTGGATAGTCCTTTTAATATTGCTTTTATTCGATTTTTTTTATTTTTTCCATAATTTTTTGCATAACTTAATAATTAATGATGTTACACGGTGTAAATAAATAAAACTACAAAAACGAGTGATTTACAAAACGTGTTTGTAACTGCTGGTGACTGTCGTCTCGATGCGTCGTCACTATGGAATGCATGAAACATTGGCAGTTTAAAAAAATATCTTTATATTGAACAGTTTAACAACTTTATCTTTTCAGAGTCATTGTTATAAGATCGAAATATAAAATCTATTAAAAAATGGCCACAAATCGCAATTTTAAAACCGACAACATATTTGAAAAGTTAATTGATTGAAAATTTCAAAAATGAATAATACTAATATAACTTTTGTTTGGGCTTTTCACTTAATTAGCGACTTAACGCGAAAAAAGATTTATAAATCATTTCCACTTTTTACGTCACGTGCTCCTGCAAATTAGCCTGCCTGAAATTGTACATTATAGCTGGCGATATTATAATAGATATTATTAGCAGTCAATTTGCGCAATTAGTAAGCTAAAGATTTTGAAAATTCAGAGGCATCACTTTTCTTGATTAGAAAAGAAAGTAAATAAAATAAAATAAATAAATAGAAAATAAAGGCAACGATGTTACATAGATTTTAAATTTTTATAACAAGACGATTTTTATATTCTTCACTTTCGACATCATACATAGTCAAAACGAATGTTTCACGCATCATTTTTTGTTCAATAAATCTAAATTAAAATTTACGATTGAACATTGAACTGAAAATAAATTATTATTTTTTAGATGTTCTAGTTCAAAATATAAAAAAATAATTTCGAAACTTCTCTCTATAACAAACCAACCAACAAAGGAGGATGTTTAAACGGGAAATGTTCTGTGAAACATTTTTAAAAGGCACGATTTCATTAACGTGACGATTTCATTAACGTGCCCTTACACACTGCACAGATCTAGACGACAGAAAAAAATAAATTGAAGAAACTGTCCGAACTGTTAAATAACAGAAAGAAAAACAAGAGAAGGGAGAGAGAGAGAGCAAATATGAACATCATCACTACACCATATTATCCACGATATCATCATCACTTCACCCGTTTCTCCATTGCGGTTGACAAATTTTTCAACATGAACAAAAATGTAGTCTGACAAAACTTCAAACTATAAAATGAGTTTTAATAATTATATAACAAAATGTATCAGGTTGACATTAGAGGCATTTTAATCATTATCAATGAAAAAATGACTTGATGGCTACGAAGGTTGCAGGCTGTGCATTAACAATAATAAAACCTGCGTGAAATTTTTCGAGTAGAAATAGAAAAAATGCAAAGCAAACAAAATGTAACAAGCAGGGTGTCGGACGATAAATATTCAACTCTGACTTGTAGGGATCAAACATTCATTTATTAACTATCTTATGTATTAATTATTATTAAAGAATATTGCAGTTTTCAATGTTACCTAATCTATGTTAATTTTTATGTCTTTGCTTTTCTCTCGACTTCTTTCCTTTTTTCCCGATAGCTTGTAAACGAAACGGTCCGAGATTCACGTGGGAATAAAGATAATATTTTATTACGCCTGAATTGTGTTTGTTTTATTTATTTTAACTCACAACAAGGTGTCTTGTTAGTAGCATAAGTTCGTACTAACAAATTGGTGACCCCGACGTGATCTGAACGAAAATCCGACGTGATTTGAACGAAAATCCCACGTGATTTTGAACGAAAATCTGACGTAAAAAGAAATACAAAGATCCACGTGGTAAGATCAAAACAAAAACAATGTTTCAACCAAATGAGGACCCGATCGCCGTATTACCTCATTTCAAAAAAATAGCGTCAACAGATTGATTCGAGAATTCCGAAATGTGAATTAAATTCCGAATGGAAATTAATTTTGATCTCCAAACGTGATGGCTGCCCGCTACCATATTTTGCTCCTGTATGCAAATGGTAACAGCAACAGAAGATCATGTTCATGTTGAGTGACCATTCATTTAATTGGAAGAATGACGAATTTTTGATTTCAATAATGAAAAAACGAAACTTTAAAAAAATTTAAATTTAATTTTTTATTTAAATTGAGATTATTATTATTAGGTATTTAAAAATAAACTCATCTTCTAGAAAAAACTCTTGTTTTCACTGAATTGATCAACAGAATAACAGTTTAAAAAATAAAAAAAAGAAAAAAAATCAATGTGTTGTTGTTAATTGATAGTTTTGCAAAAAACTGTATTTCAGTTTATATCATGCAAATCAGTTATAACATGCAAATTGGTTGATTTGCAGTTTATAACATGCAAATCAACTATAACATGCAAATTGGTTGATTTGCATGTTATAAACAGAAAGGCATATTTCAGTTATAAACATTCAAATTCAAAATTCTATTTATTTAAAATCCAAAAACACAAAATGAAAAAAAACAGATTGTGCGGATTTACGGAGATCACATAAGAATAACAAAACTGGTAAAGACCACCGTAAATACAAGAACCAATTTAAAAATAAGAACACACATACATACAAAAGTTGATCAATTCACTAGAAGTATGACTGACTGGTGTTAACCATTACAGTTAGTCATTAACTTAATTACGATAGTTCATTAAATGACGACTATGCAAATATGTAGGTTAATTAACAATTAAACAAAAAGAACAAGAAAACTGAAATTGTTTTGACTGTTTCCACTCAGATTTGAATTATAGTGAGAAAAGAGTATAGTTAAACCTAACTATGCCTATTAACTGAAAGGCCATTCCAGTTAATAGGCAGAGTAAGGTTTAAGGCAGGCAAAGCGGTTGAGCACACATAAATAAAAATAAAAACACAAGATAGTAAAAAGCGTAACAACAATAATAATTTTTAATTTCATATCTGCATCTTGAATGAATTTTATTGCTAATGTTAAATGAAACGTGGCGATTCAAATAACTAAAAAATGAAATATTAGTTATTGATTAAAAGGTACAGGTAAACAAGAGAGAACAGGATAAAAAAGAGTCAAAGCGAGAGAGAAAAAGAGAAATTAAGAAAAGATTCTTTTTAATTTTTTAATCATTTTTCAAGATATTTTCGTTTATGAATAGATGAAGACATTGTTTTATTTTGTGTGGTTTGCAATTTTGTCAGACTATAATTAATGTTATCTATCATCTTCCATTATAATCAAAAAGGAAGGTCTGTATCTATCTGTGGAGAACATTAATTGTTTAGTAGAGGCAACAAACTTTAATTTATTTAGAGTGTCTAAATGGTAATAACTGACTTGAGCATAATAACAATCAGCTCATTTCACGTTGCTTTTTTTGATAGTGATATATTGAGGACGTTAAATTAGGCATAAAGTTGTAAAAAAAATGTCATACAAGCATGAAAAATTAATAAAATTTCATGTAATTTCATCGCGGCTGCCATTTTTTTAATTTGGCAAGCTGTTGTTCGATCATGTCGCTTTGTTGATCAAGAAAACCTTTGCTTTTTTAGAGTCGAGGTTTCGTTAGAATGAAGTTAATGAAGCGATAATGAAGTACAAGTAAAATTCAAATTGCCTTCATCTGAAAAGATGATTGGAGAATTTCTGTTCTGACTAGGAGAAAAAAACATCTCGTAACTTCGGTCATAGGTGATGATTTTACAATAAACCAGATAATTTAGTAAGGAGTTGGTTTGCTATCACACAAAGATTGGTGCACAATATGCTCATACCAAATTTCAAGTTTTCCAAACAAGTTTCTGATGGATAACACGGTCGCCAGCATAACCATGAATTGTGTAAAGTTACATTATCTTTTTAGTGGCCAAACCGTTTTTTGCAGACCTTGAGCCATCCTTTTATCTAGCTCTTGTTATAAATTAGATCAGAGTTCAATTTTTTTAATCTAAATTTATTTTTATTTTTTTAGATCAAATCGATAAAAACATTTTTTTTCTAAGTTTTGTTTCAAACATCAAATATTAAGCTAAAAAATGAAATCAAAATTTCAAATTTTGATTTCATTTTCAAATCAAAGAGTTTTCTTTGTTGCTTTCGTCATTCTTTCAATTAATTGACGGATAACACTTGACATGAACAATGATCATCTGTCATTTTCACTTTTTACCAAGTATAGGTAAACAATAACCATTCCCCAAGTCAATAAATATAGATGGGCATTTACGTTTGGAGATCCCATGAGTAGCATGGTCGTCAGATTCAGCGCTCACCAGGATGTAGTCTGACAAAACTTTAAATGATAGAGTGAGTTTTAAAAATTTTCATAAAATTAAAATGTTTCGACCAGACTGACGTGTTTTCAAAAATTATGCATAAAATATTGCTAGGAAGGTTTGCAATGTTGATATTTTCATCAAAAGGTTATGTATCTACCGAACCAAAGTTGAAAATAATAAAACAACGTTTGATAGTTTTTACATGCAGAAACCTGCCGAATGTTAACAAGCAGAAAAAAGAGTCAAAAACATTTTTGAAAGCAGAAAATATATATAAGAGTGTGGTAGTTAAGTATTTTTTTGTATGTAGTCAAAATATTGGAAGATCACGGTTTAATTGCTAGATTTGTTAAATAAACGACCAATGGGTTTATAGATCATATATTTATGAATTAATATAAAACATTAAATTATTCGAAGTTACATTATAAAATACAAAGAAAGACAAACATACCCGCAAGAGCAAACACAGCGAGGACAGCGATGAGAAGGAGAGATCGCAACATCGTGAAATTTCTCTTTCAACGTTGAAATGTATCGGCCACATAGCTTTATTTATACCAAAAATTTTACAATTTTTACATTGAACATTAATAAATTTTTTACTAATTTCAAAAACACGTTGCACATTTAATGTTCGGTTAATTGTGATATATTGGGTATGTTAAATTAAGCGTGACCGTGAATGATCATTTAAATATTTCATTATATAGATATATAAACATAAATATCTAATTATATATATATATATATATACATAATATGTTCAAGTTTTTTAAATAAAATAAATAGATATATATATATATATATATATATATATATATAAATATATATATATATATATACATATATATATATATAATATGTTTAAGTTTTTTTTATATTTTAT